TCATCATTATTATTATTATTGTTATTATTGTTATTATTATTAATAATATTTATTATTATTATTATTAATATTATTATTATTATTATTGTTATTATTATTAATATTTATTATTATTATTATTATTATTATTATTATTATTATTATTATTATTATACTATTATATTTTTACAACTGAAGACTAAAATTACAATTTACAAAAATGAAATAAACTGATGTGTGCTCTGTAAACTCGATACAGTTTTAAGCTTGACACTTCCCTACCTAGGCTTTATGTTGCTTGTTTCATGCATTAATAATCATGAATCATGTTCCTTAAGTTCTCTCCTCTTAGTTACAAGAATAATAAATAATAAAAATAATATTAAAACAATATTTAGAATTACTAATGAAAATAATACAAGTTAATTAATATAGTATCATAGTACAGTAGAACCCCTATTAAGGGGACACATTCGGCACCAAAAAAAGTGTCCTCTTAATAGGGGTGTCCCCTGAATAGTGGATGGCTGTAGTGTTAAAAGATATACTTTCCCTCATTTAGTGCCTGATAAAGTGTCCCCATAATATGGGTGTCCCAAAGAAGGGGTCCTACTGCTAAACCAATCTGTTACCTTCTGAGATTGAAGCATCTTTTCCTGATACTGCTCCTTCTCTTGTTGGAATCGATTTCTCTCTGCTTCCAGTCTTATCTTCTCTTCCTCTAATTTTTCCTTCTCCTCCTGTGAGATTCCAGATGTTGCTGCCAGCACGGCAAACGATGATGCATTCCCTGCTCCCGTATTTTCCGACTCTGCCAGAGTCTCCCTCGGTCGAGAGTCTAGCATTTGTTGTAACCTTAACTTCTCATCTTTCTCTGAAGTAAGTTGGTCTTCAAGGATCTTTTTCTCTTCTTGATGACTGTCTTCTATTCTCTTAAGCTCAGACATGTGAGCTTCAAGCATGCTGTCACGATCTTTGGCTGCGCTGGTCAACTGGTGATGCCCGGCATCCATCTTTGAAGTCAAGTCTGATATTACAACAGCCTACCAAAACACAAAAAAATAATTATGGTACAGTATACTAATTGCAATCAAAAATTTATATTAGAAAATATTTTCCTAAATAACAAACAATTAATAACAGAGTTTCTTCACATTAGACCCACCAATTCAATTTTTATTATTTTCTTAGTAAAAGGTCTGCAAGACATTATTATAACTGACCAATTATTATTTATTGTCTAATTAAAAATTTTCTGCTTTTTTTTAATGAATAATTGTGTCAAATTTTTAGTTGATTTTTTTAGTGTCATTATTACACTGACAGTTTCTTTTTCCAGAAAACTTGTCTACATGTTCTGCTGTTAGTGATTCCAACAGGAAGCCTCATGCTTTTCTGAAAAGTTAGGTCAAATAGGAAACACATTCATATTCACTGGTTAATTACAGTACCTTCATGTTCAGAATTTACTTACTTTCTCCTTTTCTAGTCTTTCAATTTCCATTTTGTTGATCAACAGTAGCTTTCTCTTTTCTTTCAAGAGTTCTTTATTGCGTTGGCTTAAGCTCTAAATGAAATATATAGAATATATATTACAGTTTACAATGATTACAGTATGTATATTTTGTAATAAACATAATATGGAGGTTTTGCATAATGCATCAAGCCAAATGAGGATAAAAATAGATGAAAAAAATAATACTTTTAATAATAATTACAAGTGAAGAATGATATAATTCACCTATTTTTTAGTTTAACAAACATAATTTTAACTCATATTTGACATTTTGTAAGAATGATAAAAATAATAATAAAATAATAACAATAATAATAATACTAATAAAAAATTTTTCATGCTTTCATAGCTTTTCATTTAAGAGATTAAAAACATGGTAATAATACATATATAATAATTAAACTTTTTTAACCCATTTAAATTGGGTAAAAGCAGAAAAATTATTGAAATATTATACTTGGCTTATTTTATACAAAAACTTACTTGGAGTGTTTCTTGCCAGTATTTCTGGAGGCTTGTTAGCTCTTCACGATGAACCTCAATTACTTGACGGAATGTTTTCACCTTACCACAATAGTCAGTGCGGAGTCCAACCACAAATACATTAAACTGGGCCTATTGTAAACATCACAACTAAATTAAAATCAAGATTATGCTTCAACATACAACTACAACTTAGCACATTTGTACAAATTAGTGGAATAAATCAAACAGTAATAATTTCAATATTATAATAATATTGAATTGACACAGCACATTTGAACAAAGGATAGAATATGCTTGGAATGGTTAATGAATTATAATAAAAACGTCTGTCTACAGTGTATTAAACTGCACATTATTGCCCAATAATTAATAAAATTGAAATTGACAAAGCATATATCA